TTTTTTTTTTTATTAAATTTTTTTTTTAACGTTTATTTATTTTTGAGACCGAGAGAGACAAAGCATGAACAGGGGAGGGGCAGAGAGAGAGGGAGAAACAGAATCTGAAACAGGCTGCAGGCTCTGAGTGGTCAGCACAGAGCCCGACGTGGGGCTCGAACTCACGGACCATGAGGTCATGACCTGAGCTGAAGTTGGACGCTTAACCGACCAAGCCACCCAGGCGCCCCTCTCACACTTCCATAAACATTTGAAACTTTGATCCATCTAAGTGAAATATTTCAAATTTTGCTGTTGTTTAAAAGGAGAAATGGGTGCTTTGTAAATGCAACATTTCTTGCAGTGTTACAAATTTTCAGGGTTCTTTTTCTTCTGAAAATGTCTTTTAGCCATATTTCTTTAGATTTTGTATATGCCATGATCTCTCGACCTTCTATATTTTCTCTGTTTAATTGAGAGAAAATTGACAGAATAGATTAGGACTCAGAATCTAACATACTATGTTGAAGGTAAATGCCATGATTGTCCAGTGGGCACAAAACTTTTTGGGTCAGAGGCCCTTTTGAGATTATGAGTAAAGCTATAGTCATTCTCCCTAGAAAATTCAGTAGTCACAAAATTTTACATAAAATTAGACACTTTAGGACTCAGGATGCCTGCTTTCAGGGCAGTGTTTGGTTACTGCTTCTGTACATTAGCGGGTCATGAAATTGATTTTTGAATCACAAGTAGTGTTTATTAAAAAAATGAAATAGCATGTGCGGTACATGATGTACACAGATCATAATGTCATTAAATTTTATTTCAAATAAAACCTTATTTCATCTTTGTGTATACCTGTACTGGTTGCTAATGTAAATGTATTTCTTACAGGGGGTCATAGTCAAAAAAAATTGAGAACCATTAACATAAACCCCCTGGCTCACTCTTTGCTTTTCACATAGTACGTATAACAATCCTGACACCTGACTTTGGATTTGTAAGCCTAGTGCTTACCCACATTCAAGGTACCAGTGGTTTGCCAGTTTCCAACTTACCTTCCACTTCTGTTTGGTGCTCTTGCCCTAATAGTTTCCTACATGTCAGAATCTGGCCACCTGGGCAGAATCTAAATGTACTTAAAGCATTGTCCCTTCCATTTTAGTTCATTAGGAGTGTTAGTTAAACTTGTTAATTGAGATGAACATTTTTAACAATTTAAATGGTTCCATTGGCTTTGCATGGATATGATCTCAAAAACTATGTAATTCGGTGTACCTTGAAATGACCCTCTTTAAAGTCAATCTCAGCATCACAAAAATTACGTGTCAATATATCAACAGAAAATCCAGCAGCTTGTTTTTCTTGATCTTTTTATTCAATTGTATTATCTACAAACATACTTACCTAAATGATGATGTTGGTAATAACTAAAGTGATTTTGTCTTTCACTGAGGGCCTACCGTATGCTAGGCTCTCATAGAGAAAACTTTACATGTATTTTCATTTAATCCTGGCAACAGCTTTGTGACGAGGTTGGCATTATTCCCATTTTACAGGTAAGGAAACTGAGGCTTACAGAGACTAGGTAGGTGACTTGCCCAAAGTCAAATAGCTAGTAAGGGACAGAACTTGGATTTGAAACCAGGTTCATCTACCTCTGAAGTCTATTTTCATATTAAATAATTCCCTGGATTTACTTGGATCCTGTGCATCTAACGAGTATTTCCTAGTTTTGTAATTGGATTGTAATATCATCTTCATACGTGTCCATAATGTTGTGTTCAGCATTATTGAGTTTGCTGTGAGTAAAACGATGTGGCTGGACCTTGATTTTGTTTTTCTTTTACTTCATTGCAGACTATCTGTCAGAAGACACCTAAGGACTCTCCGAAGTATGAAGTCTGCAAAAGAGCCTTAAAGGAAGTGAGCAAGGTAACTGTGGAACAGCTAGTTCATCGCACAGTAAACCATTCAACACCTTGGAAGAGTATGTGTCTGGCTTTGGTGCCAAATACTGGTAGATTCTCAAAGCCATTTGCACGGAGTTCCTTAGGTAGCTAAAAGACGAAGTGAAGTTAGTATTTTGACTATTTCAGACAGTCTTGCTGTAAGGGCCAATAGATACCTCATTTTCTTTCGGTATCCGAATAGTTGTTTATTCATTCTCTCATTAAACAGCTATTTCCTGAGTATCAACTATGGTGCCAGGCATGAAGCCAGCCCCTGAAAATATGGTGATGGGTACATAAGACAGTTGTGGTTAATGCCATTGTGGACTGTGCTATGTAAAGGGGAAGGAGGACATTAAATAAGAATTATAATAAAGGATGGTGAGTGGCATGGTAGGGAAGAACATAGTGATGTTCAAGCTGAAATCTAAAGCAAGCTTAGCTTGCTGGGAGCCAGGGCTTGGAGGGAAAGAGAATGTCTCAGGTGTGTGTAGAGACCCAACAGCGAGAAAGTATTTGGAGGATTTGGAAGAGCTGGAATGTTCTTTATGTGGCTATAGAGTCCAATCTAGGAAAGAATACCAAGAAGCCATGTTAGGGACGTGTGGACCTTCTCTTCAGAGGATACAGAAGCTATAAATTCATGTGTTGTGAAGGTGACAATGGGGATGGGACCAGTTGTGAGGCTTTTGTAGTTGAGTAGGCTAGAGGTGACAGTGGCCTTTATGGATATGACCGTAAGATGCAGAGAAGCAATATATAATAGAATGTTGAGGAAGTAGCACAGAGATTGATTGGGTGAGTGTATTTGGGATCAGAAGTCAAGGAGTATGGTCTCTGGCTTGAGCAGCTACATGGATGTTCCTATTTACCTTTACAATAGAAACATAGGGAGAAGCTGCTGACTTCCATTTTGGATAGGTTATAACAGAGGTTCTTACAGAATATCCAAGTTGGCTTGAATAGTGGAGACCTGGATTTGGGAGGCGTGGGCATAGCATGGGTTCTGAAGTTGGGAGGGTGGATGACATTTCCTAGGAAGAATGTGTACAGTAAGAAGAATAGTGAGTCTGAGGCACAACCATGAGGAACTTCACCATTCGTCACAGAGGCCACTTAAAAACCAAACCGTACCAAAGAAGGAGGAAAATCGTAATGGCCTGGCAAACGGCAGATGATTTGGTGGAAGGAGGGTCAGCGCTGTCGAGTGCCCCTAGAGGATACAGTGCGTAATGAGTGAGGCATTCGTGGGTTTATCATCAGGTGGGTTGTGTCCTCGCAGTGGCAGGTGGGGAGGCCGGATTGCAGTGTGTTAGGAATGGGTGGGAGGCATGGATTTGCAGCTGGCTGGCAAGCGTAGCAGGCTGTTGCAACACGGTGGCTGCCAGTGAGCTGTAGCTGAAAGAAAAGTGTGGGAAGTCTCTGTTTGTTTACAGATTAAAAAATCTGTGGGTACCTTTTAAATGCTAATAGGAATGTCTAGCTGAGAGAAAGCTGTAGAAGATGTAGGAGTCAGTGAGGATACTGTATGAGCTAGGCAGAGGGGGCAGAGATCATGATAGCATCAGAAGCTTCCTGAACCCTTGGAGCTACCTCATCACCTTAGAGTCTGGTACACTTTTGCACCACTTTACTGTGAGGTACACTTGACGGTTTCTTTTAATCAGGTTTAAGTTGACTGCCTTTTACATATCCTCATCCTTGAGGATGTACCTACAAAATTATGGGCTTTGTGAGCTAATTTATTTTTCTAACATCCATTTTTTTCTTTGTCTTTATCTTTCTCCTTCTCTTTCTCCCTCTCTTTCTCCTTCTCTTTCTTCCTCTCTTTCTCCCTCCCCGCCTCCCTCCCCTCCCCCTCCCCGCTTCCCTCTTTCTTTCTCCGCCTCCCCCTTCCCCTCCCTGCCTCCCCCTTTCTTTCTCCGCCTCCCTCTTTCTTTCTCCCTCTCCTTCTTTCTTTCTCCCTCTCCTTCTCCCTCCCCCTTCGCCCCCTGTTTATTTTTGAGAGACAGAGACAGAGCATGAGCAGGGGAGGGGCAGAGAGAGAGGGAGACAGAATGGGAAGCAGGCTTCAGGCTCGGAGCTGTCAACACAGAGCCCGATGGAGGGCTCAAACTCACGAACCCTGAGATCATGACCTGAGCTGAAGTTGGACGCTCAACCGACTGAGCCACCAACATCCATTTTTTTATTTAAAAGTAAGATTATCTGTGCCTTAGTCCATTCAGGCTGCAGTAACAAAATACCACAGACTGGGTGGCTTTTAAACAACAGGCATTTGTTATTTCTAACAGTTCTGGAGGTTTGAAGAGTCCAAGATCAAGGTGCCAGCATGGTTGGGTGAGGGTCCTCTCTGGTGGCAGATTTCTCCTTGTAGCCTTACATGGTCAAAGGGACTATGGGGGCAGTAGGGCTTCTTTTTTAAGAACACTAATACCATTCATGAAGGCTCTACCCTCATGACTTTTTTTTTTTTTAATATTTTTAATTTAATTTTGAGAGAGAGAGAGAGCAAGCAAGAGAGGGACAGAGAGAGAGAGAGGGAAACAGAGGATCCAAAGCAGGCTTTGAGCTGCCATTGCAGAGTCTAATGCTGGGCTTGAACTCACGAACCATGAGATTGTGACCTGAGTCGGAGTTGGACACTGAACCGACTGAGCCACCCAGGTGCCCCCTCTACCCTCATGACATTTAAAACACCTCCCAGAGGCCCCACTGCCCCATACCATCAACTTTGGGGGTCAGGGGTTCACCATATGAGCTTGGAGGGGTATAGAAATTTAAACCAGAGCAATCTGCCAACCACTTAAATTCATCTCTTGCCCTATCATTGGTCTGCACAACCCACTTTGGGAAACACCGAGTGAAGAAACTTAGCCTGACATGGGTTACCTAAGGTCCTCCTGCCCATGGGCCTCTCCTCTGGATCACATATCCCGTGCTGCCTCCTTGGAGGCAGTAGGGGAGACGGTCTTTAGAGGTGGAGCTACTAGAGAAGTTCTAACCTTGGATTTGAAGGACATTTTGTCAGATTTTATTTGGTTGTTACTGAGACGTTAAAAAAGAATTCACACAAAAGAAGTAAGAGGAAGGTAGTAGTAGTTGTTGAATTAGGAATGATATTTAGTGTCTCCAAGAATTTCACATCCCAGTCACAGTAAGCCACAACATTCCTTCAGGCATCTCTTGTTCACTGGATTTGACACTGGTAGTTGTAGCAAAGGCTGGCAAAAATGTAAGGGATCAGTGAATTGCCTTAATCTGATACTATTAGCATACAAAAGGCACTCTGTGAAGAAATGCTGTCTTCGTGACTTGTTTTCTCTGCATTTCTTTTTCTCTCTTGAGCACAGGTTATGAACATCAGCATTGTTTCCCTAGTCTCCTAGTATTGTGTGGTAACTAAAACCACTAATATGGTCAGCTCAGCAATTAATCTTCTTTTGCATTTGTGTAGGTTACTGATGAGGAGTTACAGATTCTGGGAAAACAGTATCAGTATTTTCAACAAAAAGATTGTACATATAGAGCATTTATTGTTCAAAATTAAAATGCAGGGTGCCTGGGTGGCTTAGTTGGTTAAGCATCTGACTTCAGCTCAGGTCATGATCTCACGGTTTGTGAATTAGAGGCCCATGTCGATCTCTGTGCTGACAGCTCGGAGCCTGGAGCCTGCTTTGGATTCTGTTTACCTCTCTCTCTGCCATTCCTCTGCTCTCTCTCTCTCTCTCTCTCTCTCAAACATTAACAAATTTCTTAAAATTTAAAATGCAGAATTTCACTTGTTTGCTTTATCTAAAAAAGAAAGAAATTGGGAGTTCCCAGTATTTATTTTAGAGAGTGAAATTTGGTATATCAAGGTCCAAGTTTTTAGAGCCAGACTCTGTGGAAGGCCCCTGGACAAGTGTCTCTGGATAGTTACTCGTTCTTAGAAAACATGAGTAATATCTTCTCTGGTAATTAAACTGCTAATGTAATGAAGTTTTTTTGCTTTTTTGTTTTTTGTTTTTTTGGGTTTTTTTGTTTTTTGTTTTTTGTATAGTGTGAATAATGTCATTGAGATTCCTCATACGTGTTGCTGGAATGAGACTTACAGCTTACCGAATTTGGGGCCTTGGAAAATCTTATTGGCCTAGTTGAACAACTCAAAAGCAAGAAAGATGTTTCTCCTAAATAACAATTTGTTTACTTCTGACTTTCTGTTCACATGCTGGGGTGGAGCTAGGGGGAGGGCAATTTCCAGGGAATCTGAAGTTCAGATGGTACACAATGATGTCTGGTGTTGAAAGAGTGGTGGTCGAGAGAGAGTTTCTTAGGCCCGTGAAGTCTTTGCTGCCGTTCTCTTCCATTTACTCTCCCATGGAAAAGATTAACTGCTTTCACTCTTACCTCCCACAAATGTTACCTCTGTTTGGAAATACTATTAAATTATAAGCTCTTCTCCTAGTGGCAAAATAGCCAAGTCTCTTCACTCTTCTCTGTAACTACTGCTTCAGCCATTTGCAGCAAGGTAGATGTATCTATCTGTTGACAGGGAAAGATCCCTAAGCTATATTGTTACGTGAGGAACATTAAGTTGCAGAACAGTACAAATGGTGTGATAACATCTAAATAATACAATGTGTTGACGCACATATGTATGTTACTGGTATGTAGAAACAGTTCCAGAATCATACACAGCAAGCTTTGTGTGGAAGGGAGGGATTCATAAGTTTTCTGTTATGCCTTTTAGGTACTGCTCTGTAAGAATGCGTTTCAGGTTTACAGAGGTATATTTTTTAAATAAACTAGGATATTTAGAAAATTTAAGAGACCTAAAAATATATCAGTACTTTTGTCAAAGGTGATGACTGTTGTCATTCTATTATACATCCTCCCAGTTGGATGTTTGTTCTAATACCGGTGCATGGTATAAACGTACACTGAAAAATGCATTTGTGTGGTACCTGTTTGACTTACTGTTCTACAAAGTACTGCCTAGAACGTTGTCTTGCATCAGTGATTGTGCTCATCTGATTATTTCTAAAGATAAATTTCTAGAACTGGGTTTACTGGAAAAAATGTAGGTATTTTTTAAAGGCCCCCAAGGGCCTTCATAAAAGGTTGTCCCCATGTTCATGGCCACCATGATATGTAAATGTTGGCCTTACTGCACACTTCTCAGCATCAGATATTCTTTTAATCTTTGTAAGTTTGAACGACTTTAAATATTTTATTTTAAATTTTTATTTCCTTATTAGAGTGTTTGAGCTTTTTTTAAAAAAAATAAATTTGTCCTAAAGAAATTAGTGAGTTAAATTTAATAAAGCTTTAACAGCTGCTGAAGGAAGTCATGGCTTTAATATGCTGAGCTTGATTTTAATCAAAAACACCAGAGCACACATATCTGAATTAGTGCTCGTCCTTTTGAAATAGCCGTTAAAATGGGCTCTACTGATGAGACTGTTGGTTAAGACAGTTTGGGAACCTTTTTGTTTTTAATATGCCTTCGAAAACATTGTTTTCTGACATGGTGGCTGACTCTTATCCTTTGCTGAGGGAGTCAGCAAATTTGAAAGTTTAAGAAATAAGATGATAACCCAAACTTAATAATGCCATTTTCCCCTATTTTATTTTATTTTATTTTATTTTATTTTATTTTATTTTATTTTTTATAAAATAGACTTTATAATTTTTTTTAATGTTTATTTTTTGAGAAAGAGAGTGTGAGCAGGGAAGGGGCAGAGAGAGAGAGAGGGAGACACAGAATCCAAAGCAGGCTCCAGGCTCCGAGCTGTCAGCACAGAGCCCGTAGTGGGGCTTGAACCCAAGAACTGTGAGATCATGACCTGAGCTGAAGTCGTACATACTCTCAACTGACAGAGCCACCCAGGCGCCCCACCCCTCTCATTTTAAAACAGGATTGCTATAAAGAAGCTGTTCCCTCCTCCCACCCACCTTATTTTTAAGTGATTTATAAACTGTCTCTGAAGGCAGCTTGTTCAGGCAGAAACATTTGCTGAATGTTCCTTGTGTTTTTAGGTGCTGGGTTGTGGGCACTGGGTTTACAAATAATGGAGATTTCACAATCTCTGCTTTTCATTCTTTTTGGAGAGGAAATGCCCCAGATAAGTCTTGAAAGACAGGTAGGGGGGTATAAATCTAGTAGATAAGGAGTTGGTTGGACAGAGCGGGTTGAAGGGTATTCAGGCAGAGGGAAAGGGAAGCACATGCAAAAGTGCAAGGGCAGGATGGAACGTGGGGCTTGGTCCAGAAATTTTGCAGGGCTGAGGCCCAAGATAGGAGTGGGAACAGGCTTGCAGTCAATAAGCAGTTGCCAGATCATGGTTTTACTAAGACCTAATTCTGAAAACCAAGGGGAGCTTTCTAAGGCTTTTAGGCCAAGGCATTTCATGATCAGATTTGAACTTAAAAAGATTGACAGCATTATCTGGAGGATGTGTAAGAGTAGGGTAGCAGCAAGGGATGGCAGAGAATTGGTAGGGAAGAGGGAGTTTGAGCCTGAGTTCCGGGTACAATACAAAGGGAGGGTCATGGACCGTGGAACAGCAGCATTAAGGAGGCTTTATGACTGCTTGGATATGGAGCACAAAGAAGAGGGCCGTGTCTGAGAGCTGTGAGGGCTAGGTTTTTCAGCTGCAGGGAGTGAGCGTTGGAGGTGATGTTCAGGTTTTGTTATTCTCATTCTGAGTTTGAGATGCCTGTGAGTCATCCAAGAAGAGATGTCTTCTAGGTGGAGGTAGAGCCTAGGGGACAGACCGAGTCTGGGAACGTAGATTTGGGAACTGTGAACATACTCCACGAGAGAAATTATAATAATGTCTGGAGCCATGGCTGCCTAGTTAGATTTCACTCTGACATGTCTTAATCCTTTCAGGATAGTGCAGTTTCAGATTCCTAGCCGTGATCAGGTATAGCCATCATTCCCTGCATCAGTGAACTCTTTAGGTTCAGACTTAAAGATAAGCTGTAACTGAAGATTGGGGTACCCTCCAAATCTAGAAATGCATTAGGCAATCATAAATTGTTTAAGCGTCCATCAGTAGGGGGTTGAATAAATACGTTGTGAAAAGCATATGATCACAGCATAAATTGCATCATATCACGTTCCTGCTGAAAGCCTGCTGGTAAGACTTTCTCTTTGCACTTGGAATACAGTCCAGATGCCTTAAGACCTTGTGTGCTTTGACCCTGGCCTCTAGTTCCATCTTGTGCCATCTTCATGTGTCAGTATCTTATACTTTCTTGGGCACACCAGCACTTTGCCATCGTATACCCTTTGCTCATGGTGTTCACTCTGCCTAGACCAATGCTATGATGAGGTCTGGAAGGGTCTCAAGCACGGGAGTTTCTGTCTTCATGGAGTCTTCATACCCTCCCAGTATGTAGATGTGTTCTTGTTCACCAACCTGGAGCTCTCTGAACTTCATAGTCAATCACCAGCCCTCTCCCCTCCCCAGAAGTCTGGTGGGGGAGGGTGTGGTAGGGCTGAAAGTTACAACCCTCTCTGTAATCACTTGGTTGGCTCTGCTGGCAGCTGGCCCCTATCCTTAGGGCCTTTCTGAAAGCTACTTCATTAACATAAACTCAGATGCGGTTGAAAGGGGCTTCTTATGAATAAGAAGACACCCATTTCACCATCATCGCTCTGGAGCTTTTGGGAACTGGGAACAAAAGTAAATATTATAACTAAAAATGCCCCTATGGCTCTTGTAAATAGAAATTATAAGGACTGTAGGGACTGTGTGCTGGGAACTATGAACCAAGACCAAATAAATTTTATTATAAGTCACAGGCCCTTATCAGAGGACTTTGAATGCATTCAGTTTGTAGATAATTCAGTAGTTCTAATTACACTGAAGTTCCTATCCTTGAAGAAATCACTGACCAGTAGTTTCCACCGAAGGTTTCTCTCTTTTAGCATCCTGTGCTCTGGTCCTATGCTTTACAGGTAACAGTCTGCTTAAACTTTGCCTTTGAAGTTGGTAGTCTGCCCCAGCCATTTGGACTGCGCATCTTCCCTGGGGCTGCGTGAGGTTTCCCTGGTTTCCCTGGCAAAGGAGAGGAGAGGAGGGGCAGAGGAAAGGAGCTGAAGGGTCCGAGATCAGACTGTGGGAGAGCCCTCAGAGGGCTCCTCCCAGACTTTTCAGGAGTTTTTTTTCCCCCTCTGTCCTCACATCTTAATCCACCACCTCTAACGGGGTACAATATCTTAACTGTGTAAAACTGTGAGTTCTTTAACTGTCAGAAATGAGTCTCTGGAGGTTCCAAAGTGCAAATTATTTCCTGTGAGAGATCTGCATTTGAAATTAAGGTTTCTCTCCTTGACCTCTTAACCCTCCTTATTATTCTGTGTTCCCAGTTGGTTCGACTGTGCAATGAAGGAGCTCGGAAGATGGAAAGGACTGAAATGATGTACACCATTAATTCCCAGTTGGAATTTAAAATTAAGGTATTCTCGTATTTCTTCATAAACAGATTTATTGCTGCTCTTGCCTATGTCTTATGTAAATAGAGAGAGGTAGTTGAGGGCAACAGAGTAGATAGGAATTTGCTTTTCAAAGAAGGGCCATAAATTGATTGGAGAGGGACTGGACTGACCGAGGGAGATAGATGCAGACGGACCAGGCAGCTCTCTTGCTTATGGTCACCAGATAAAGTTGCCTTTCTCCAGGCCACAGGTTACATGTTATCTAACTAGCACATTCCCTCCCACTTCCCTCCCCCCAGGAAGATGCCAAATTTAGGGAAAAAGGTAGTTAAGAAAAATAGAATTTTGGAATGGAAAGGTGATTTCTTTAGTATTCTCAAAGTGTCCTGCAAAACAGTGGTATCCCGTGAATTGGATCACGTGTTCTCCTAAATCAGATAAGGGCACTCCTCTTCCAGTTTGCCAAACAAAGGTTGTTAGTGGAAAGTTCTTTTCAAATTTGTTTTTCTTCCATAGTTCTTTTTTGAATATGCGCTCCCTATTACTGCTTGTCTGACACCACTTAGGAGTGGATGACAGGATGAGTGAAAAAGAAAATGACCATTAATGGCAAATAGAGGTCCCAGTCTTTTGTTGGCTCACAACTGAGTTCTTAGTGGATGTGAATGCTCACGATTGTGATTCTGTTTTATTTTGTAACTTGTAAACTTAATGAAGCAACTTAAAATGACTGGTCATATTTTTTCATAGTAAAAGTGCTCCTAAATTGTGCAGTAGAAATACAGTGATCATCATTTCATAGCCTTATGCAGAGAGCAGATTCTCTGCTATTATAGAGACACTGGTACAGTGTAACTGTATGCTTTTATTTGTATAAAAAAGGAAATAAAGCCCGGAGAATACTTCATTGTTAACAGGGTCACTGGACTAATGGTGGTAGGATCAGGACTAGGGTCCATATATCCTGACTTGCAGATCAGTGTAAACTCTTTCACTACAACATCGTGACTATAACTATTTAGATGTTGGAACATGACCCATAATTCTTAGAGCAGAAGGTGATAGGTACTTGCTAAAAACTCACACACACACACACACACACACACACACACACACACTCAGTTATAATATCTTCTACAGAAATTTACGGTAATTTCAAAACCCATCTTTCCCCCATCCCTCAAAACCGAACTTTTTTTTCTCTGTAATTTGTTTTAAGTATTTTAGAAAATATGTCTAGACATCAAAAGTTTTATCTCTTCTTTTTTTAAAGTTTATGTATTTTGAGAGAGACCGAGCAAGTGGGGGAGTGACAGAGAGAGGTGGGGGATGGGGGTAGAAAGAATCACTTGCAGACTCCACACTGGAGCCCTGTGTGGGGCTCGAACTCACAAACCCTGAGAACATGACCTGAGCAGAAACCAAGAGCTGAACGCTTAACTGACTGAGCCACCCAGGTGCTACCTCCTCACCACCCCCTGCTCTGCCCATTTTTTTTACAGATTATAAATCCCTAACCAGTTTGATTTTTAAAGATGATAAATTCTTTACCTAACAATTTTTTTTTTCTTCACTGAAAATCACTTGGCTTAAGATATCTTTTTTTATTAAAAAACATTTTTTTAAAAATTTATTTATTTTTGAGAGAGAGAGGGAGAGAGAGCATGCGAGAGAGTGCACGAGCAGGGGAGGGGCAGAGAGATGGAGACACAGAATCCAAAGCAGGCTCCAGGCTTGCTGTTAGCACAGAGCCTGATGTGGGACTCGAACCCATGAACCGAGAGATCATGACCTGAGCTGAAGTCAGACGCTTAACTGACTGAGCCATCCAGGTGCCCCAATTGGCTTAAGATATCTTTAAGGTCTATTTCTCTAGAACCCAAAATTAATTTGTTATTGAAAAATGCTTACCCTAAGCGTCCTTAAAAATACATGATTAACATCAATTAAGTTCATGAATTTTGGGTTGTTTTCTTTTGATTCAATGCTTAAAATTATTTGCGAGCCTAAAGGAAGATAATCTATGTGTTGATTTTATAATGAGGTGCTTAATTCAGGTCACTTAGAAATACTCTTAAAATCTTAGGATCTTATTTCTGTAACACTTTATGGACAACAATGGACATTTTTATTCCGTTCATTTTATATTTTTTATGAAAAAAATTTTTTTTAATGTTTGTTTATTTTTGAGAGAGAGAG